CCCCCCCGCCCTAGTCCCAGAAGATCCCAAAAAGTCTAGTCTGGATAGGGTTAAGCATAAAGGTTCTTTTTCGGGAGAGAATAGCAAAAGAAACACTGCTAGAAAAATGCAAAGTAATGAAGGTTTAGAGAAAGGCTAGTAGATGCATGAAGCATGTAAACCTGTAAATTTGGATGCAAAGATATTAATTTTGGAAAGAGAGAGCTTTACCATCTCCTCTTCCGCTACAACTTTCCACGATTCGGTTTTTCTTAAGCGGAGTATTTCAGCGTCCTTCTGATAAGTCAACAATCCAGTAATTTGTGGCACATTATCAAAAGTGACATCATCAGGAACAACCACAATCTAAAATATATTCGAACACAATATAATTATAAAGAGAGTAGTAAGTAGATACAGCGATACCGCCTGTTAAGGTGGCTCAATACAGTTTTTTAAAAATGGAAAATTCACGATTTAGATGCGCAGTTTTGGACAATTATTACTTGTTGATAAACAAAAAGTACCTTACTTATATAAAACAACATCTAAAGAGTTTGATTTTTTGTACAAAAGTTACGCAACCGCCGTTGGTATGGCAACAATGACGTGTGAAGATGGCGGATATTTTGGCTTTAAAGTAATTTAACTCGTAAACGACATCTGTGACCCCCAAATTTTATTTTAGAAAATTATTTCTTTTAGTATAATCAATAATTTTGACAATTTAAAAAATATTCTGTGGAGTCAAAATTTTCTAAATTACGTATTAAAAGGTGATTATTCATAATAATATTTTTTTAGCTCCACAGAATTTTTTAAAATTGTCAAAATAATTGATTATACTAAGAGAAATCATTTTTTTAAAAGAAAATGCGCCGCATTTTCAAAAAAGGCCCTGGAAACAAGGTTGGAATGTTGCGAGAGTTAAAAGCGCAAGAAACACGAGCCGAAGGCAAGTGATTTTGCGCGCTTTTCTTAACTCGAGCAACATTCCCAAGTGTTTGGATCAGGCCATCCAAACACGGAAACCATAAAATAATTGTTTTATAAAATAACGACTTTCTGTGTTAAAATTTCACTTTAAAAAACTTTCACTTTAAATTTCCGTGTTTGGATGGCCTGATCCAAACACGCGTTTCGACTAATCAGAGCACGCGTTATACAGCTATTTCAATTAAGGTTGTCCCCCGAGCAAAGCGGAAAAGTCGAACACGAGCACGGAAGGCTGCTGGGAATCGCTAATAAATTCATTCATTTATTAACGATCCCCAGCAGCCTTTCGCGCTCGTATTCGACTTTTCCGCTTTGCTCGGGGGACAACCTTAATTGAAATAGCTGTATACATGTTATTTTATAAAGGTATTTCAAACATTCATTATATATTCATTTAAAAATGGTCCAATATTATGTGCCTGGTAAAATTCGTCCTGCTAAAAAGCAGCACAAGAGAATAACCACTTCGTCTTCGGCGAGTAATTTATCTGAACAGAACTTTGAATTCTTACCCCATCATTTAAAATGGCTTCATTTTTTCCACATCGACCCTATATTAAATAAAGCACCTTTTACTATAACAGGTAACAATAAATATCAATCATTAAATCGATGCTTATTTCCTTTGACGGTATCCATATATCAAACCATCAGTAAGTTAGCGCCTGCTTAAAAAATTAAAAAAGAGAATTTCGATATTTGGAGCAAATTGAAGTACTTTGTCTGAAAGTAACAAAATGGTAGTGACCATCTAACAAAAGCAAAGTCATTCAACATGCAATATTATAAGAATTTCCTCCAGTTCTGCAATAACGTTGTGCTGCATGTAGACCTAGTATATGTATTATGATCTTTTTATATCTAACCTTCACAGGTGTATTTCTATCTCCAACCAATTTGTACCATGCTGCATCACCATTCTCCTCTTCAGTCCTGTACTCCATGCATTTCTCCCAGACTTTCTGTGGGGGATTCAATCTTACCCAAAACCAAGCATGAGCGTTCGTTGTAACTGTACCACCGTTTTTAGCTTTACATTCTTTCTCACAGTAAATATCGCTGCCACCAGCTGGTCCGTAACAGGCACAGCACTAATGTAAAATATACACAATGAAGTCTAATATCAATATATCGTCTTAAATACAAAAATCTCAGCATTCTGTTTTGTAATATGATCGTACTGGTATAATTGTCCTTTTAATTAATATAATTATTTAATTAAATAAAATCTATATTAACAATGCTGCTTTCAGGGGAAGACACTAAATGCCTAATTATAACCGTCCATAAATTACATTCAACAAACAACTTGCATTTATCTCCTGTATTAGATTGTGGTAAAACACAAATTCATAAAGTCTGAAAATGGTATACGTAGGGGATGACATGTACAGATGTACTAGGCTACTCATAAATATGACAGCTAGAATGATAATTATGGTAGAGTGTTCTACAGTGCCAACTGTGGCGTCAACCATACATACTTTATACATGCAGGTACAATAATTCCCAGACAAAATAGGGATGACTGTCAAAACCAGAAAACTAAATACGTGCATAAAATTATGGTCAACCAAATCATAAATATTATTAACGGTAATTTTTTAATTAATTAATTAAATGGCAAACATATTCGCCCTTTAAACTAGAGTTTAGTTCTACTTTTTATTTTTTCATGAAAAATATATAGTTGCTAGAAGACAACACAAGGGTAGAAATGAATAAATAATTTGCACTTATTACAATGTAACCGAACTGTGGAATTCGCATCAAAAATTCGTATCGCCGCCATTCCCACAAAACGTCTACGACCGCACCTACATATTTTTGCATGTTTACAATTCTAATTTTAAACAGCCAATCGACGTTTAATTGTAATTGTTACCAAGAACCAGATTCGCTGTTTAAAATTAGAATTGTAAACATGCAAAAATATGTAGGTGCGGTCGTAGACGTTTGTGGGAGTGGCGGCGATACGCATTTTTGATGCGATTCCACAGTTCGGTGACTTTCGTAATAACAATAGTCTTATTTTTGCTAATTTAAGAAAGTGTATACATATATAACAAGTCACGTACAAGCAAAAGAATTGCACAAAGATTTAAAACAATACTTCTGTAACTGTGCTCATGCATGGGATCGTGAGTGTTACCAGCTCATGTACGCGTAACTCAAACGCATGTTATACCTTTCCTTTGTCGCATCCGAAAAATGCTGTAGTGCCATCACTTATTGTTCCAGAATTATTTCCAGCAAGAAAACTGTCCAAATGAAAACAAAATCAAAACTAATAATTTCAGCTCAATAGCCTAACATTTTGGTAATGGTTAACTGTCGCGTGATAACTGCACCTAAAATCTAGTCAAGAATACCTTGATCTATATACTTCCACATAGCATGGGATAATCTTTCTATCTATAACAGTTTTGGCCTTTCCATTAGACGAGAAAAAAATGCTCTTGTGCAGACTACAATTTGAATAATCTTCGTATTTTGCGACTTGTCACATTCTTAATTCCTCTCGCTACTTTAATTCCTCTCTTCCTCCACGCTGGGTGTTTGTTATAGCTTGACATCAAAAGCCAGAATGCAAGCAATGATTAGATCCTTCCCTTTTTGCGCCTATAATTCCACCAACTAACTACACCTTATTTTTTATACTCAGAAATAAATAAAAAGGTTACCTGAATCCACCAGAAAAATCAACCTGAACGGGAAATAGGTGATGATAGGCAAATCCATAGGAACATGACTCTTCCAGACAAGAATTCATCATAGTCTAAACACAGAAATGTAAATTTATCGTTTAACCAGGCAAACATTGAGAGCGCTAAAAATATTTGAATTTCCGTCATTTTAACGATTCAGTGAAGCTTTATCTCCCTTGACTAAATACCGTAAACTTATATAATATATAGCTCCTGCCACCCATGCAGTCTATCGCCTGTATCCTTAAAGCTCACGCATGCTCACACTCAAAGAGTGGAGGTTCAATCTGAGCTTCCCTTGAGTGTCACAGTCAGTGCTGTTTTTGAATAGCTGGGTATGGTTAGTATCGTACCTTACTATGTGACTACTCACCCTCCAGCTATACAAAACAGCATTGACACTCAAGGCAAGCTCAGATTGAACATTCACTCCTTGAGTGTGAGCGTGAGTGAGCTTTTAGAACTGATACAGGCAAATACAGCTATTTCAATTAAGGTTGTCCCCGAGCAAAGCGGAAAAGTCGAATACGAGCGCGAAAGAATACTGGGAATAGCTAATAAATTCATTAATTTTTTAGCGATTCCCAGCAGCCTTTCGCGCTCGTATTCGACTTTTCCGCTTTGCTTCTGGACAACCTTAACTGATTGAAATAGCTGTATATGTTTAACTAGCTTCATGCACAGTTCACGCTGATCAGCTGAGAAAATTGGAATCTCGACATGCAATATAGAAATTTGGAGTCTTCTAAATATAGAAATATAGAAATTTCACTCGAGAGCAGACAATTCGTATTTAAATGATCATGAGCGGCGAGTAAGGGTGATTTTTGGATATTGCATTGCACGAATAATCTCTGTATAGCACGTACCCAACCAAGCTTAGCTGAAGGATGACTATAAGCACCAAATACTGAACATGGAAAATCTTTTGAAGAAATTTCTTCAGTCATCAAATTTTTTACGTAGGAAATGTCTCCAACTCCAGGCTGATTATATGGACATCCACCTTCATTCACCATCATCAATTTTTTTAATGGACGTTTATTTTTGAACCGAAATGACCTAAAAATACCGATGTCAAATAAGGTTAAATTCTTATTACAATACAGTGGCGATTTTATTTAAACTCCAAACTTATAGAGCTTGTATAGAATAGCGGGAATGAGGCTATATACAGTATGTGTGCATGTGTTCGGTGGCAAGTGTTCTTAATGACAATATTACAGTGTACTCGGCTGTTGATGGGATACCGGATACGTTACCGAAATATCGTTGAATTAATACTTTATAGTCTTGTTTATTAACTTTACAATCATACAAAATTATAACAATTATTGAAGGTATGGTCAATTACAGGACATGAGTCCCATGTGAAGACCAACCTGATACAAAACAGTAAGTAGATATACATTAAAGACAAGGACTAGAACACTATTTACATAACTATATGAAAAGTAATAGTTTAGATTATGAGCAACAGCTTAAGTTGAAAGAATGGCATTTAGAGCAGTAGGTTTTCCAAGTGCGCATTCTGTTAACATCGAAAGAAGATCAGTCTAATTGAGAAAAGTAGTGAATATGGAGCTGGAGCTTAAAGGATGAAAGACAATTCGGTTAAAAAAAGAGTTTCTAAAAAGAGAGGTTTTGCACGGATTGACTTGAAGCAGGTTGTCCGTGCTTGAACGGGTGCGAGATGAGCGATTAGAAGAAAAGGTGACAAAAAAGAGATATTTAGGTCGTAGAGGCCTTGTTTGCATTTGAAAAAAAAAAGATGAGATCCTTTATTTCAAGCCAGTAAGATATAGGCAATAACTTAAGTTTCTCCAGGATCGCAAGATCGCGTGACGAGGCTTGAGGTACCCAGATCTCACGGGTGTAAAACAGGTGAGATCAGACGAGAGATAGAGAAGCCGGCGGCTGCAGCGAGTATCAGTGATTTGAGGACAATTTCTGCGAAGAAAACCAAGCAAACGGTTGACTTTAGCAGTACAGCTGGCAATGTGAGGGGACCACTTAAGGTCATTGCTCACAACCGCACCCAGGTCGACTTGATTGGCTACAGTCTAAACAGGTTGATTGTTAAGGTGGTAAGAGTGAGTTGGAGAGTTGCGTTTCCGAGATGCCCTGAGCAAGAGCGTCTTAGATACATTAAATTTCAATTCAGTCTGTAGGAGATCTCGATCGGTTGGTGACTGAACTGCGCGCATGGTAACATTTACTGTCGTCAGCAAAAAGTGCAACAATAGTATTCTTAGTTACCTCTGGAAAATCATTCACATACAAAATGAAAAGTAGCGGACCTATGATACTACCTTGCCGCACACGAGATTTAACGTTAAGGAAAGATGAAGAAACTCCGTCGATAACGACACGCTGTTTCCAGTTATGGAGATAATCAGCGAACCAGTTAAGTTGACCGGAAATTCCAAAAGATTTAGTTTGAACAAGAGTTTGCTGCGAGAAACGGAGTCAAAAGCTTTAGCAAAATCAAAATAAAGAAGATCAATTTCATTGCCAGAATCAAGAGCACGACCGAGATCGTGAAACACATTCAAAAGTAAAGTAACACATGATCTATTGCAGCGAAAGCCATGTTGAATGTCATACAAAGAGTCCTTAATGAAAGAAGAAACCTGTCTAAAAATCAAGCGTTCAAGTACTTTTGAGACGTGGGAGAGTAATGAAACAGGTCTGTAGTTGGTGACTTCATGAGCGTCACCTTTCTTAGGTATTGGAACCACATTAACAGATTTCCATTCAGAAGGAAATACACCCTGCTGAAGAGATAACTCGATTAGACCTGTTAAAGACGGAGCGATGACTTCGGAACAGCGCTTTAAAAGATATGCTGGTATGCCATCAGGCCCAGTAGCCTTAGAGGGTGACAAACTGGATAACTTCAAATTCAGAAACAATTATCGAGTCAAAAAAGTTTTATGATGACTGCGAAGGAGAGATTAAAGGTAAAGAAGAATTTGTGTCGGTAAAAACTGACGCAAAATAAGTATTAAATATCAGGCTTTTCTTCAGAAGAGAATAGTTTAAAACCACCTATCTTAATTACATCAGGTCTGGAAGATTTTGAAGATTTAGACTTAAAAAATCTCCAAAATGATTTAGAGCTATTGTGTAAGGATTGAGAAAGTCCAGATAAGTATTCTCTCTTCTTGGGATTAATCTAACATTTGACATGTTGCCGAGTCTTGCGAAATTTCTCCCACAATTGAGGCGAGTTCTTAGCCTTTGCTTTTCTCCTTAGGGACTCCTTCATGTTGATGGCGTGAAGTAGATCCTTGGTGATATAAGGAGGCGTGAAGGAACGCTTGAGCGATGTTTTCGGAATAAAACTATCGGCAGCAGTAAGGAAAGCAGCTTTCCACTTGGACCAAGCAACATTAATGTCGTCACAGTTATTGCGAACTAAATCCACTAAAGAAGCGTTCTGAAGACAGTTTAGGAGGCCAACAAATCCCCCTTTGAATAATTTTAAATTAAATAAAGTATTCGCTCGGTGGATTGTTTTGGTCGTTGATGCAATTTTAAGTCAAAAGATATAGCTTTATGGTCCGAGTGTAAGGAGATGGAATCATCATCAGTAATTTCAAAGTTTAGTTTTCTATAGGACAGCGTAGAGAGATTCACGCGATATGTTCCCTGGTGGTTGTTCTCTGTATTTTGCATTACGATATTTTAGACACTGCAAGGTATGAATTATATCTCGATAACCTTACTAAATCATCATAGAAAATGTTTATAAGCGAACACATACTTCCGGTCCCAATGATTTCTTTAATAAAATACTGTTATCATTACCCCTATTCCACAGACACCTCTGTTAATTAAGCGGAAGCGGACACTTAGCTGGAGGAAAACGTAACTGATGAATGTAAATATGCTAAATTAAATTTTCATAACAATCAATAGTAAAAATCAATTTGAAGAAAATTCACTAGACAAATATTTGTTATTAATATTTTGCAGTATTTCTATGTACTATAAACGCTAATAACCTGAGCTAATCGAAAACAAGCAATTGCAAAAACTGTCTCCTCGAAATATGAACTCGCATGCAGGGAAGTTCCCACGCCATAACCAGCACACGTTTGCCTTTGATCACTATTGTTTCTAAAGTAGTTGGGCGTTATACCTCCTGCTGTGTTCGCTGTTGCAAACTTCTGTTGCCCTATTAAGCATACACCCCTTTTAAGTGGACACATTGGTGAAGTCCCAAAGGTATCCGCTTAATAGGAGTTAATACGACTGTACATCGCCACAAACTATTTAACTTGGCAAGGCGGGACCTTGGGAAGAAGAGTTAAAAAAAATATAAAAGTTGATTATATAAAAGTTATTCGGTTAAAATAGTTTAATGTTGAATATTTTGAGAAAACTTTTATTAAGCAGAGAAATAAGGCAAGACGTATACCAGTGTGCTTTGATCTGTTTATGTTGTTCATCGGCAGCAACCTGTACTCTAAAATCCAATATAGGTATATCGCCAAACACGCTCGACCACTGAGAAACATCAAATGGTTCCACTGTAGAGTTGTTTGATGGTACATCCCAAGTAACGGTATCATTCATTCGCCCAATTAACATATATCCACCACCATCTGTACTCATGTCACACCATACCTGTAAATATTTTCAAGACAACGCGGTTGCGAATGAGTGTGGTTAACTTTTATTACTAGACAGTTCAATTGTATGCAGTTTTAGGCCTTGGTGCATCGTTGCGGCTGTTTTGGGGTGGTTGTACTGAGGATTTATCATATACTAACAAAGGTTTTATATGGCTTGTCTTTGGTGTTAAAAACTAAATGCTGTGTTAGCTGTGGGTTGCATGCTAACTGCCACAAATGCCATACATAGGGATGTCGATCATGATCTATTAGTTTAGGGTAGCATAATATAATTTTAACTACAAACCTTGTATGGAACTGGACGATGAAAGTCTACCCAATAATAACCATCTTTTGCCTTCCTGTTTTGAGTTAAGATCTCCAAGCAGTCATATCCTGGATTGAAATATTCACCAGGTGGTTTTGAGCCTTTACAAAAAATATATGCGCACTTATATGCATGGAGATAGAAAAAAACTATGTTATGTAATTATGCATTTTTTTACAGTAATTGGATTGCATTTGTTTAATTAAAGAGGCTGTCAAGTCCGTTCAGCTCATGCACGTGTTTTGTTTACATATTTTGTTTCAAACAATAGATAATTTAATTAAATTCTGATCTGTGGGCCCACAAGTTAGCTCATTACGCATTCAGAATATATCACGCATGGAAAACTACTAAAGCCAAAATTTGGCCGCAAAACAACAAATTTTAAATCGAAAACGCTAACGAGCACTTCTTACAGAGGTATGGACAACATTTGACTGATATTTGTTCAAATGTAGCTCCAAAACGACAAATTCAAGATTGAAAATGTTAAGAAACACATCTTTATACAAGCTTATGGGGGTAGGGATAAAACGCTGAAACCGAATCGCGGAAACGGAAACTGAAAGCGGAAACTGAAATGGGGATAAAACGCTGAAATGGGGATAAAACGCTGAAATGGGGATAAAACGCTGAAATGGGGGCAAATTTAATCGAATTCGTTGTTTGCTAGACCATTGCGAACACATGTAATTTGCCTATATAATCCCAACAGGTCCCATTACCTACCGCTGTAAATCCTCCAGTAGGAACATTTGTTCTTAGTCTTTTGCAGTGTTGTCCTCCTTTGGTTCGCACATGCTTTGGGTATTCCCAATCCGAAACAACTTTTGGTAATATACCATGACACAAGCTCAACAATGAGTAGGGGGAGCGGGGGCTTAAGAAGGGCAACATGATTCAACATGGAATTTATCATAAGAATATGTGAATTTTCTATAGGTGGAAAATGGTCTCAACCAGTAATGTCCAAGATTGTCTGAATGTGGAAATTTTACATGCATGCCAATTGTTTGAGAGTTATGGTTAGAAAGGCAGATATGTTAGTGTTGCGATGGAGGGAAAATTATTAAATATATGTTACACTGCAAGTACTGTAGGTAACGGAAATTTTTATCCATATTACCAATCATTCCAGGCGATGCAAAATTTATATTTATACTGTAAGTAAAGGAAAATTAATTGGACTCATTGATACTATTTATGTTTTGTCGGCCATCTTGTTGTCATGCGTGTTGTCCCGCGTGTTGTCCCGCGTGGTCTACGCGAATAATGTTCCACCCCATGTCTATGCTCATGTTCCCCGGGGAACATGGGGTGGAACATTGTCAAAAGGAACGCAGGCTCGCTAATTGATGACGTAAGGCGTGATATCGCAAACAAATATATACATTGCTCGAAAAACAAGTATTAATGTATATCTATCTTTCAGACTACTGGAGTGGAAGAAAATTAAAAAAAGATCGAGCCATCACACACAATTAAATTCAGTGTGTTTCAGATAATCTTGGACAAAACACTTGAGACCATTCCAGCTAATATTTATACAAAGTTATTGAACATTGACAAAACAAACTTTGTCTCCCCCTCCCCCCCCCCAGTTCAATGTTGTGAACAACGCCGAAACAACTTTTGGTAATATACCATGACACAAGCTCAACATTGAGTAGGAGGAGCGAGGGCTTATAGGCCGTGAGATGAGGGTCGAAAATATGCTTTATAGAAAACAGATTCCATAGCACCCCTCGTGTAACTACATAATTTTTACATGAATGGATAGATTAGAACTTACTTAGTTAGAATCCACTTCCCCCCAAGCAAAATAGTTGCACAAATTGAAGTACGACATCTCCAAAGTACAGCTTCTTCGAATTTTGAAATCCGTGAACCGCCATTGTTGTGTTGCAAATACGCATGCGCTTGACCACAAAACACTTAAGTGGCAGTCCCGCTAAGAGCGGTCCGATGACTTTGACTTCGGAAAATAGATTTCCTTTATTTTTTGTGTGTTGAAAGGCATTGGTATACAAGTGTCCAAAATAAATTTATTTTTTGAAAATTCTTTTTTATGGCTTCGCTAGACGCCGAAACTCATTTTACCCGTGCAGAGCTAATTACAAGCAAAATCGAAGGTTGAATTTCGGTAAATTGTAGAGCCGCGCTGTGTCAAAACGCCTGATTATTTCCAAATTTCAACTAGATCAACAAGTTAAAATACACTTCAGGTTCCCTGTTCCAAAAAATAAGAGCATTTGAATAAATAGTGAATAAACGACAGCGACTTGACGGCACACCGGTTTTTGCTTCTTGTTCGGTCTACAAAATTACACTAAAATCGAAGCCTGAGATCTCCAAATGGGGACCTAAAATTACGCTGAAATGTGCTTGGCTGTAATGATTTATACTTATTTTCAGAAGATCTGAAGAAAAACCTGCGGGTATCAATCTGTATTTGGCGCGAGTTAAGATTTTCTGGAGCCCATAATCAATGATTTTGCATAATTTATAGCTAATTAACATATTTCTTGAGAGGCGCTAAAAGTAAACAATTTCTTTCTGACTAACATATCTCAGATGAAAGAAACTACCACAGCTAGTAATACCCTTTTTGTAAATATAGTCGTAATGTTCTTTTCCTGACACGCTGAGAGAGCTTTGTTTTTGAATGTTATACCACATTTATTCAGTCTGACCAGATTCATATAAATGTCACGAACTTGTATATTTCAAAAATATACCAGAAATCAGAATTCAGAAAGACCGATTATTCTTTCATTGATTCAGTTGATTGATTTAGTTGATTGATTTAAAAAACTATAAGTATAATGGAACATTCCACGTGTTTCCATTGCCCCTATATAGGCCTAGAATTTTTATCAATATGTTCTATTTTTCTGTGGCGACGGCATATTAACAAAATACGACACAAAAATGTACATTGAATTTTACTTAACGCGAAATAAATACTAAAATAGGAATTTTCTATGCTGGGTTAGTGAAAGAAAAAGCATAATTTTAATTGTAATATCGATGAATACTATAAAAAAATTATACGCATTGTTTATATAAATTAGCTAACATTTTTAACAAAAATATCAATTTTATAAATAATCGAATTTCAATATTTTTCTTTGAAAAAAAATATATTCGTGAGCTCCATAGCTGAGAATAAATTTCAAAAGTTTGTGAATTAAAATTCACAAGACACAAGTTTGATATTTTTGTTAAATAACTGATCAGAATGCTTATAGTTTATTTTGTTACATGGCTAAAACAAACGTCGCTACTATCATAATAAATGTGTAAATGTTAGCTAATTTATATAAACAATGCGTATAATTTTTTTAATAGTATTCATCGAAATTACATACAATTAAAATTATGCTTTCTCTTTTACTAACCCGGCATAGAAAATTCCTATTTTAGTATTTATTTCGCGTTAAGTAAATTCAATTCAAACTTCATAAATAACATTCTGATATGTCGGTCATAAATTCGAATGTACATTTTTGTGTCGTATTTCGTTAATATGCCGTCGCCACAGAAAAATAGAACATATTGATAAAAATTCTAGCCCTATATAGGGGCAATGGAAACACATGGAATGTTCTATTATACTTATAGTTTTTTAAATCAATCAACTAAATCCATCACCTGAATCAAGGAAAGAATAATCGGTCTTTCTGAGTTCTGATTTGTGGTACTGATATTTTTGAAATATACAAGTTCGTGACATTTATGAATCTGGTCAGACTGAATAAATGTGGTATAACATTCAAAAACAAAGCTCTCTCAGCGTGTCAGGAAAAGAATATATATTACGACTATATTTACGAAGAGGGTATTACTAGCTGTGGTAGTCTCTTTCATCTGAGATATGTTAGTCAGAAAGAAATTGTTTACTTTTAGCGCCTCTCAAGAAATATGTTAATTAGCTATAAATTATGCAAAAATCATTGATTATGGGCTCCAGAAAATCTAACTCGCGCCAAATACAGATTGATACCCGCAGGATTTTCTTCAGATCTTCTGAAAATAAGTATAAATCATTACAGCCAAGCACATTTCAGCGTAATTTTAGGTCCCCATTTGGAGATCTCAGGCTTTGATTTTAGTGTAATTTTGTAGACCGAACAAGAAGCAAAAACCGGTGTGCCGTCAAGTCGCTGTCGTTTATTCACTATTTATTCAAATGCTCTTATTTTTTGGAACAGAGAACCTGAATTGTATCTTAACTTGTTGATCTAGTTGAAATTTGGAAACAGTCAAGCGTTTTGACACAGCGCGGCTCTACAATTTACCGAAATTCAACCTTCGATTTTGCTTGAAATTAGCTCTGCACGGGTAAAATGAGTTTCGGCGTCTAGCGTAGCCATAAAAAAGAATTTTCAAAAAATAAATTTATTTTGGACACTTGTATACCAATGGCTTTCAACACACAAAAAATAAAGGAAATCTATTTTCCGAAGTCAAAGTCATCGGACCGCTCTTAGCGGGACTGCCACTTAATGCGCACGCGCAGATAAGAAAAACTGATCTCAATCCAGGACTGGACAAACCTGGACAAGAATAAAATTATGAAATGTGCGAAAGCAGGGCTGAAATAAAAGACATAAAACAAGATGACATCGAAGTGTTTAAAAAAATTAAATATGATATATTT